TTTCCCGTTCACACACGCATGGTGAAATCGCGCATCAAGTTTGGGCTTGCAGGGGAAGCCTGGGTCGAGGTCAAGGGTGTGGGCAGAAGGCAGAATCACAGCAGGGCCTCTTTGAGGGTATCAGAGTGCAAACTTTCCCAAAGCAACTGGCCAGCTGGCCGGGCCAGAGCAGAGTGGGCAAGGGACAGGGACTGCGCCAGTCTCTGACACTTTGTGAACAAGGACAAGGAGAAGGAAAGCTCAGGGCAGGCTCTCTGGAGCCGCGAGGAGGGTGAGACCTGCCGAAGGACCGGGGGTCAGCAGAGCACCCCTTGATGAAAGAGAAACCAGGCTTGGGGAGGACGCGCCTGTCGGCTGGTTGTATTTTTAAGAAGCAAACGTGTGACACATTGGATGTCAGTGGAGATATTTTGGGGTTGGGGACTGGGATATTTGAGTGCGCGCTAGAGAATAGCACCTGGAACCAGCAAGTGTGAATCCAAGGAGTCTTGGGCCCCTGGGCCCCTAAGCAACGTGGCTAGCATCCCTCGTGTCCTAGGTATTCACCTGCTCCAGTAGCATCTCCCAGGTGTCATTAGATCCTGAGGCTGTCAGCATCCGCACCCTCCTTCATTTTGTAAAGAACATCTAGAGGAGCGCCCGTGGCAGGGGTGAATTAAGTGCTAGACTCCTAAACCCCTAATCCTGTGGGCGCGCGGTCTGCCCTTCGGAAAGCAGATTCTCTCCATTGTCTGGTTGTTGTTGGATGCCCGGAAAGCAGATTCTCTCCATTGTCTGGTTGTTGTTGGATGCCCTCACGTCAGCTCTGACTCCGGCTGACCTCACGTGCAACCGAACAAGCCGCTGGCTGGGCCTGCACCATCCTCACCATTGCTGCTCCGGCTGAGCCCCTGGTGACAGTCAGGGTGTCCGTCCGCCTCATGGAAGGTCCTGCTCTGATCCACTAACCCCTGACTTGACCAAGCATAGGTCCTTTTCCAGGGACCGGTCCCTCCTGATGACATGTCCAAAGTAGATGAGAGGAAGCCTCACTGTCCCAGCCTCTGAGGTGCATGCTGGCCGGACCCCTTCCAGGACCGGTTTATGCCTTGTTTATTCGGATAAACTGGACCCCTTCCAGGACGGGTTTATGTGTTCTTCTGGCCATGCATGGTACCTTCAAGATGGGTCCACTGACGAGGTCGTGTTGTAGAGATGTCTCACCCGGGGTGGATTTTCAGACAGAAAACCATCAACTTGACAGAGAAGAGCAATTGCAAATGGTGGTGGTGGTGGTGGTGGGTGAAGGTGGTGGGAGGGTGGGCGGGGAGAAAGACGCCACCCAGGAACCCCCAAGCAACCGAAGAGAGCACCGAAGCTCTGGAAGCCCGCAGGAGGACTTCCCCCAGAGCGGTTAGAAAGAGCCCTATCCTACAGAGAAGTCATGTCCCTATGCTGAGGCCACCCACTTGTGGCATTCCTACAGCAGCCCTAGCCGAGTGACACAGCTTGTTGGTGACACTTCCTGGCTGTTCTTCAGAGCCATGACCACTCTCTCCCTTGTCCCCCTGTCCTAGCTGACCCGAGTCCCTGTGGAGTCCTGCAGTCAGTACCGGAGCTGCAGCGAGTGCCTGGGCTCCGGGGACCCCCACTGTGGCTGGTGTGTGCTCCACAACAGGTGAGTACCCAAGGGTGGGCGGCACCCTCCACGGGGCCGCTTCCTCCTCCTCCTCTTCTCTGCCCTTCACCCCTTCCCTGAGATCCCTCAGCTCCCACCAGCCTCCTCAATCTTCCCACTGTCGTTTGTAAAGGTCTCTCCCTTCTCTTCTTCTTTTGCTTCCTCCGTAAGTTGCTAAGTTCCCTGAAAAATATCAGGAGACGGCAGTCTGGGTGCTGATGGGTCAGGATGGGAAAGTCATACTGAGAAGGTGTCCACCGGAAGGCCCAACGGAGAGCAAATCCTGGACTGGCTTGACTGTGGGTGATTTTCTGGGACTGAACACCGGGCACCCAGGGACTGCAGGGCCCCTCTCTGTCCATGTAGAGAGCTGACATCCGCTTGGCGTTCCCTTCAGTGGCCCCACGGAGCTTTCTGGGCCTCCGCTGTGCAGTTCAAGTGTTACCACTGGGCCCCTCTCTGCTCTCCCAGGCCCTGTCAGAGCGGCCTGGGACTGGGGCCCCTGAACCAGTGGCCGGTCCCAGGGCCTGGGTAGTCGCCGTCTGTGGTCCCGGTGGTGCTGGCTCCCTGCTATCCTCAGAAGTGGGGAGGATAGTGTGGGCACTGCAGGGGACAAGTGGGCTTTTGGTAATGAGCCTTGGAGTGGGACATGAGACCCAGGCCACCAGCCCCAACCTGAGGGAGCTTCCTCTGGG